GGGGGGGGGGGGGGGGCGTAGGCTGCCAGGCCAGGAGGAACTTTTGGGAGGGGAGGCTGGCCGATGGCCCCAGGAAGCCCTGCTAGGTCACCTGGTTAGGTTTCAGGCTGGCTGGCAGCTATAGATCTGGCTCCTGCCTAGGCTGCCCAACCCCTTGACCGCCCTGGGCAGCCCTCACTCAGGGCAGGGTGAGAAGCCACGGACGGAAGGATCTGGAAGGGACCCGACCTAGAACGAAGGAGGGCTCTCCTGACCGCGAGAACAATGCGTGGAGCCGCCTCCGGGACTGGTGGGTGCTCCCTCATCACTGGAGGGTTTCAAGGGTTTGAACAACCGTTTGCCCAGAGTGATACGGGGCCTCCTTGAGCAGCGGGTTGGACTGGAAGACCTCGGGGGTCCCTTCCAACTCCATCCCAAGGCCTGGGGAAAGAGGCAGGCGTCAGGGCAGGGAGGGGCTGTGAAAACCCCGGGGGGGGGGGGCGGCAGAGGTACCTTCCTGGTGCTTGTAGGTGTGTGTGATGTCTTCTCGCTCCTCACTTCCCACGGCCTTGGTGCTGATGTAGTTCCCCACGGCGCTTGGGTTCCACTGGAGCTTCTCTCTCCTCGTCCCGGAGAGCAGCCAAACCACCCGGTCTGCGTTGACCATGGAGAACACAAAGGGGGTGTCATAGCGCAGGTGGATGTCGCCGTTCCGGATGGCTTTGACGGGCGCCGGCCCACAGCGGTACAGCCCTGCCGAAGGGGAGAGAGAGGAGGAAGGGTCAAGATGCCTGCCCGAGCCCCGCCGGAGAAGAGAGCGGAGCCGTCTCAGTTACCGTTGCTGGACTCCTGCGGGGTGGCATCCAAGACCTGCCAGCCGTCGTACCCAGGGGGCAGATCCCTGCGCACCATCCAGCACTCGTTCCAGACGTGGAAGTTCCTGCCGTACAAGGAGGGAGGGAGGGAGGGAGTCGTCACGGGCAGCCAACGGCCCCCTTGCAAACCCCAGCCCTTTCGGGGGGGGGAGGTGAGGGAGGGGATGTGCTCAGCCAGCCTAGAAAGCCACCTGTCCCAGCTAAGCCAGGTATTTGGGGGAGGGAGCCGTGCTGGGCACAGTGGGCTCCATGAACTTGGCCTCAGCACAAGCCCCCCCTTCTGAGAGGCCTCGTGCAGAGGGGCTCTGGGGCAGCCGGGAGGGGGCCTGGGAGCTGTGCCAGGCCAGAGGCCCTCTAGCCACCCTCGTTCTGCCCCCGTGGCTCTCCAGAAGCCCACAAGGAGTTCCCACGACCTTGTGGATATGGGCTGGGCCAGCAGGTCCCTTCCGATACTTCAGGGAAGGCAAAGCCACCCATCCACAGGAATTGGGTGCTCCCCCCTTCTCCCCCTTGCAAGGGAGGGGCCTCCTCCAAAGGCCTCGGGGAGGGGGCGTCCTCCGTAGGGGTCAAAGGGAGGCGGGGGGGCCTCTGCACCAAGGCCACCGTTTGCTGGGCTCTCCAAGCGCCCGCAGGGCAGCCCAGCCACACACAGCCTGGCCTGGGCCCCGGAGCTCTGCCCCCAACTGTGCCACTCACCAGATGCTGTCCTTGCTCTCCCGGGGCAGCAGCTGCCCGGTGTTGTCGTAGTAGACGTCGATAACCAGGTTGCCGTCCTTCTCGTGGCCCGAGTCGAAGTTCGTCACCACCCGCGTTGGGATCCCGAGGCTACGCATCACTGGGAGAGAGGGGGTTGGTAAGCCAACCAGCCCCCTCCCCCCCCGCCTGCTTTATGTGTCTGCCAGGGGCTCCCCCCCCTTGGCTCCCTACAACGTGGACCCTGGAGCCCTTGCCACCCCCATCTGGGGCTGTAGGGATTCCCAAGGTTTCCTCAGGGGTTGGGGGTGCCCAAGTGAAGAGCTTCCCAGAGAAGTGCCAGCCTCAACGCTCCTTCAACACAGCAGCCGTCTTGGCCCAAGAGGAGGTGGTGGGGGGGGCCTGGAAAGCTGACCCTGGTGAAGAGCTCCTGGGTGAGCACAGCCGGCCTGCGTCCCAGCATCCAAGGCTTTTGGCAGGGAGGCAAGGCCACGCGGAGGGGTGGAGATTCACCGGGTGAAGGGGCACCGAGGGAGATTGCCACCCTCCCCCCACCTGGCGTGGCAGGTGCTGCATGCAAGCGGTCAGCTCCAGCCCTACCTGTGCACATCACAGCTGCAAAGACCCAGCACTGCCCATACTTGACTGGCTGCCCTCCGGAGCGCTCCCACTGCTTGAGGATGGGGATGCTGCTGTTCCACTCACTGGGGCGGGTGCCCCCGGAATAGTCCTCACCCCAGTTGCCCAGGAGGACCCCAGAGTCGTCATTGCTGTTGACCTGGGGGGGGAGGAGGAGGAGGAAAGAGGTGGGAGGGGCAGGGGGCACCCAGATGTCCCAGTCAGTGGCCAGGGTGCCCGGGGCCCAGCTCTTACCATGGCGCTCAGCACCCGGCTGACGTAGACAGGGCTGCTGCGCAGGGCAGAGTCCTGCACCGGGTGGTGACGGAACTGCAGGTTGCTGTCCAGCAGCTTCAGGCAGATGCCAACCGTCTCCTCATCGAACTACAGGAGACAAACGCAGCTGAGCCAGACCAGGATGGGGGCACCACTGGCCGACTCTTCCCAAGACTGGCGGGGGGGGGGAGCGAGGTGGGCCTCCCATTAAACGGCGGGGCCAGGGCCGCGGGGGGGGGGGGGCTCCTCGTACCTGGCCGTAGTTCCAGGGAACTGGGTGGATCCAGTTCCTGTTTCCGTGGAAGATGACGCCGTGCTCGTTCATCACGTATTCCTGCCTCTCGGCCTCGCTTTCCAGGTAGACGTCGTCTTCTGAGCAGTGGAGGGAGAAGAGCAGTTGGTTCTCACACTTTCTCTCCTGCTCTCGCGATTATTTCAGGTTTCCCGAAAGGGCCCCATAAGCTGCTCCTTTTGGGGGGCATCCCCACAGCCCCAGAGTCTCTCGAGTCAAAGCTGCCCAGCCGCCCGCCTGGGAGAGCTTTGGGGTGCTCTTAACCTTGAGATCTCCTGGTGGTCTTCCTTCCCAGGACCAATCAGGCCCTAGGCAGCTCAGTTCAGTCCAGGCTTTGGAGGCCAGCTGTGGCCTTGAGGGGGGGCAGTGCCACCCCCAGCCGTGGGGGGGAAGCAGTCCCGGTACCTGGACACCAAGCATTGAAGAGGAGGAGGATTTTGCCCAGCTGGTAGGATGACGACATGCCCTGGCCGGAGTCAAAGTGGATGTTCAGCTGGTACTGCCCGACAGGGGCCTCTGCGGGGGCAGAGATGGCGACATCTGTGGACTGGGGGCCGCTGGGCACTGCGCTGGCTCTCCAGGCCTCCCTGCTGTGTGGCTGGCTCAGACTCACCAGGAAGATGGCCCGCTCTGGCCCTGGCCCTGGGGAGCGGGGAGAAAGGGGCACCAGTGGAGTCCTCCCCTGCCTGCACCAGCTCCCCGAGGAGGACAGGCGAGGGAGCCCTCTTGGGCTGGGCCCCCACAACGCCTGGGCCCGTCTCTCGCTTGCTCACTTGCTGCTCCTGTGGGCCCAGCTGGTGAGCTGGTAGTCTCAGGCCTCAGGGGAAAGGGGGGGGCAGGAACTGCTAAGCTAAGAGGGGTCTCGTGCCAGGGAGGGGCCAGCCAGTCTCGTGCCAGGGGAGGGGCCTTTGTGTTCCACAGTGGGCAGGCGGGCAGCCAGACTGGCCCAGCTGGATGGGTAGCATTCCGTTGACTGGCTCTGCCTCCTGCAAATGGGGGGGAGGTTCTAGCTACACCCAAGGAATGGTCAGTGGGGCCCCAGGTGGCCTCTGCTCTCCTGTCCTCTTTGGCCCCCCTCCCACTGCTGCTCTGCCAGGGCCAAAATTGGGAAATTCCCTAACCCGAGACATTGGCAGCAGGATGGCTGGCCAAGGTGGCATGTCTCCCTCAGCCTCAGGAAAGCGGGGGCAGCCTCCCAGCCCCAGGGAAAAGTAAGACCCGTGGCAACAGCCAGAGAGACATGGCGGTGGGGGGCATTGCCCTGGGATGATCACTGCAGGGAGTGGGCAGAGCTCCCCTCCTGCCCAAACTCACCCCCACCCCCCGATGGAATCCCCCAAGCAGCCGCTTGATGGGTTTGCCAAGCGATTGCCCGCAGTCGGGACACATACAGTATAAATCAACACCAACGCTTGCCAAATTGGGGCTCCACAAAGGGTGGGGTGGAGGGAGCCAGGCGGAGAGGCCATCTTTGTGCGAGAGGGTCTATTTGTACCCCAAGAGAAGCACTGGCAGAGACGTTGCCTGGTGAGGTCACAAAACGCTTGCAAACCAAGCTCAGAGAGCGCCAAGGCTCTGCCGCCCCCCGAGCCACAGAAACTCCCTTTGGCCGGATGGGGTCTCTTCAGGGCTTCCCAGAGATGCACTCGGGGGGCCAGTGACCCCAATGTTGTCAGGCGGAGGGCCACCTGGGGCTGCTGTTGGCCAGGGGCTCCATCAACCTTTTGGGCCTCGGTGATCTGTCCTGTCTCCCCCAAGTGAACCAGAGCCGATCCCTCCGGCGAGGTCTTCTGCCTGGCTGATCCGGCCAGCCCTCCCTCCCTTCCACAGCATTTCAGCTCAAATCACCTTCGGTGCGAGCAGAGCCCCTCCTGACTCCTCCGCCCCCCCCCCCTGCCCGGTCCTAAGTGGGCCTCCCCCCCCCCCCCCCCCCCACCGACCCGCCTTGTCCCAGGCAGTTCAAGGCTTTACGGCGGCTTTGGTGCAGCCTTCTCAGCTTGGCTGCTGTTTTCCCTGGGCCGCCTCCTGGGCAGAGCCATCATCACTCCCTGCTCCAGGAAGAGACTCTGCCGAGGGACTTAACACGGGGGGGGGGGGCACCCCCCCCCCCGCCAGCGCCCCCCACAGCCCCCCCCCCCGGGTCCCCCCCCGGGGGGCCGGGGGGGGGGGCGGCCTTGGCCCCGGTCGGCGGGGGGGGGGGGGGGGGCTTGGAGTGGGGGAGGGGAGACCCGGTTCCCCAGGAGGGCCCTGGGGTGAGGAGAAGCCACTCCTGCCGGGGCTGGAAGCAGCCACTCTCTTGGTCTGGAACACAAGCAGGGGCGCCTGGCCTGGGGTCCCCCCCTCCCCCCTTACCTGTCTCTGCAACCAGGTGCATGGAATCGGAGCCCGTCTCGTAATTCCTGGAGTGGAAGTGGAGGGTGAGGGTGAAGGGCTGCCCCCTCCGCACGACCAGCTGCCCACTGCTCATCTCGGCCGTGTGGTGCCCATGGGCGTTCTCCAGGCCATGCCAGTCCACAAAGGCCAGCTGCAGCTCTGTGGGGGCACAAAGGGGAGTGAGGGGCTGTGGGGCAGAGCTGGGCTCCCTTCCCCACCGCTGGCCCTCCGTCCGTGCCCAGCCGCCCTCCTACCTCCAGCCATCCTGATGCTCCTGCGGCTGCTGCTGCTGCTGCTGCTGCTGCTGCTGGCTCTCCTGGCAAATGCCTGCGGGCGGCATCTGGCAGCAGCCAAGGAGGCTCCAGGCGTGGCACTTGGGTATGGCCGATTCCCCTTCCTGCTCCGTCACCAACTTGCTGGCACAGCAGCTCCCACCCAAGAGCCGCCTGGGCGTGGGCACAGTTCACACTTGCTGAAAAGGCACGTCAACACACACTCTTGTGTGTGAGAGAGGAAGCTCAGGGACCCAGGGAAGTGTGTGTGCCCACCCTCCCTCCCCCCCTCCCTCCTGCGGGCGGAGCAGCCTGGTAAGGAGCCTCTCTGTGCATCTGGGCCGTGGCCCCTGGAGTGGACGTGCACAGTCTCTGGGCCTCAGGAGCCTCGAGATGCTTGGGGCCCTCAGCTCCTGGGTCCATAAGCATCTGCCAGGCCCTGTCTCTCCCCCCTGCCCACTGCCTCTGCTGCCCAAGAAAGGCAAGGCCCTGAGTGGCCCTCACAGGAGCCGCTCCTTCTGGCCCCGAGGGGTCCTGCCGTCTTGAGGAAGGGAGATCAAAACGAATGCAAGGGAGAAAGGCCAGCCCCCCACCCACCCAACTGGAGGGGTTTCTGATGCCACCAACCCCTTCTCACCACGAGCCCCTCAGACTAGCCTGGGGCCCCTCCACCTGCCTGCCCTCTCCTCATTGCCCCCCACCGGAGCAGGGCCTTCTGGCCAGACCCTCCAGAAGGCCTCCAGCCTCTCTGGGCCGCCCCAGGTCTCCCACCACAGCAGCCGGGCAGGAGCCTTTCACACCCAGGGGAGGGGCAGGCGGGGTGGGCTTTGCTCCCTGTTCCCCTACGGAGCCTTGCCCTGCCAGAGAGCATTTCTGCGGGGAGGGGGAGCCTTCAGAGAGGGCAGACCTCCCCCGCCTTCTGCAGGAATTTTTGCACCTGGCTCACAGGATTTCCCCCCTCCCAACATGTCTTTCCCAAGCCCCAGATGTTCTCATGGGGGGGAGGGCTGAAGCCTCCAGCCTCTTCTGCGGGGGGGGGGGGGGGGGCAATGCTGGTGGAGTCAGGCCAGAGTGAGCCTTTTTCAGGGCTGCCACTACATGGCGACCTCTTCATGGAGTTCCGGGGGGGGGAGTGTTAGTTCCAGAAGAGCCCGGAAGAAGAGCCCATGAAGAACCCATGTGGCACCGTCCCTGCAAGGCCACCAGGCCAGTCAAAGCCTTTCCAAGCACCTTAAGGGAACCAGGAGCGCCCGAGGCCGTCTGCCACGCAACGCAGCACAAGGCCTACAGCAGCCGCCATGCAGGAGAGGCAGGCAGAACCCAGCCGTGAATGGAAGACACAATGGAAACGCCTTCAGGATCCCTCCAGGCATGTGGGCAGCCTCAGCCACATTTTCACTGGGGGGGGGGGGGAGGGGGGGGGGGGAAGCATCCTAGGCCAAGCCAAATCCAATAATGCCCAGGAATTCCTGGAAGCTTTTCATTCAGAGGAGTCAGGGATCCATAGATAACCTAGAGAAAAAAACCAGTTATGCATCAGAGACAATAGAAAAGTAAGCGGGAAACAAAGAAGCACAAAGGACATATCCCATCTAGTGGCCTAAATCCAGATAAGCAGGGATTGACACCAGACAAACAATATCCTAATAAAGAACCACAAAGGAGAAAACCACACCCACCACTGACACAGGCAGGGCAAGCTGCTGAATAGAAACAGGTGCAAACCCTCCACCTGCACTGATGAAGTTACCTAGTTGGGTCTTGAAACGTTGAAACAACACAGCCCAGAAAGCACCGAAGACCCCACCAAAGTTTCAGGAGACGCAGACCTAACAATGCAGACTCAGGGTTTGGGGGAGGGGCTGCCCCCACAGCATCGCTGCCCACCTACCTCTGCTGGATGGCGTTTGCCACCCACCTTTCTCCTTCCCACATAGAGTTTGGGCTTCTCCACACAACTGGTAACCAACGGGGACAGGTCAACAGGTCACCCTGCCTGCCCAGGGTTGAGACATGGCCTCCAAAGCTCAGCGAGTGGCTTGGGGGGCCATGAGTCCACCTGGCTGGGCTGGCCCTGGGAAAGAGCCACGGACCCACCGTGCCCGGCTCCTGGCGTGTGTTCCTTGGGCCCAGCAGGGTCCCTGCTTGACTTTGGCCCCCGGCAGCAGTCCAGAGACAGCCACGTGCCCCTCCTCAGAGTAGGCAGGCACAAGGGAAGGAGGGAGGGAGGGAGGGCCTGGGTCTGACCCGTCTCCCCCCATGTGGGTGCTACCCCTTCATTTGCTTTCAGGCCCACTGCCTGGTGGTGCCCCCTGGCGTGAGAGCCAGAATCTGCCAGGCGAATTGAGGGCCAAAGCTCATTATGGGGTGCGATGGCAGCAGCTGTCCCCTTTGCCTTCCTTCCACTGGGGAGGCAGCAAGAGGTAATTCCCATCAGTTGTGGGCCCTCCAAACCGTTAGGGATCGCCCCTTCTTTCCCAGACCCATGGAGGAGACCAGGAGCCTCTGCCCCACTCGGGGGCTACAGCTTGCTCCGGGGGCTGGTGCCAAAGGAAGAAATTTGCGGGCAGGGGAGCCCCCATCATTAGCCCAGGTGACTGGGGCACGAAGTCTCGGCTAGCCCGCAGGAGGCGAAGTCCAACCTCTCTGACAGCAGGTGAGTCCCCGCCTGGCATTGTCTGGCATCTGCTTCTCTTCCGGATCTTGTCTCACAGCCACTGATCAGGCCTGGTGGCCACACAGGCGTCCCCAAAAGGGGTGTAATGGGACAGGTGTGCTCAGGTTGGTGGGGGTCAAGATCAGGCCACTGTTTGTCACCGGGGGACCACTGGCACTGCCAGGGCTGACTGGGACCAGTGCCCTGCAGGCGATGGATGGACCCCTTCCTGGCTGAAGAAATGGGAGGAAGGGGCTGGGCGCACACCCGCATGGGGTCCTGTGGTGCTAGGCGCAGTCCTGCGTACAGCTCCCCCCACCAGCTGCCAGCCCCACTGCTCCCTGGCAAGCACAGAGCGGGGGTGGGGGGGAGGGGGGGAGAGCAGGCAGGGGACCAGCAAAGCAGGGGCTGCTGGCATCTCCTGGGACTCCTGTAGGAGGGCAGCCCAGCTCCTCCTGCCAACCCAGGCGCGGGCCAAAGGGGACGGCATCAGCGGCAGCCTTGGAACTTTGGCTGGCTGGCTGGTGAGTCGAGTCGCCCTCCACTCCGCTCCCCCTGGAGGGCTGGGCCTTCCCTTCTCCTCTTCTGCATTTTCAAGGGGGGGGGGGGCGGGAGGCCATCCCTGCAGGTACATCTGGCAAGCAGAGGTCCACCCAGACCGAAGCCAGGCAGTGCCTGGTATGAAGAGGGGCTGGACCCTGCCTGAGGAAGGGGCCCCGGGGGGTCTCCCTGGCCTGGACGCCTGCCTGCAGCAACTGAGTGGGGGGAGGGGGCTGCCATGTGGCACTTTCCTGAAACCTTCACCCGTCTTTGTGGGGCTTAAGCCCTGCCCAGCTGGGCGGCTTCTCCACTGTGCCCGGCGGCATCCAGCTCCTCAGCATCCCTTCTGCTTCGTGGTGACCAGGCCAGCAGAAACTGGGATTGGCCCACCAGAGCTCCCTGAGGCCGTGTTCACGAGCTGAGGGAACGCCAGAAACCCTCAGGCTGATAAGCACGAAGCGAAAAGGAAGCCAAAGGGAGAGCAACCCACCTTTAAGGATGCACCGCCCAGAGTCGCTCCTGAGCGAGATGGGAGGCCTCCGCAGGTGACACATAAACAGACCACCACCAAGAAAGCCCGAGGCATCGCTTTGCCTGGAGAAAGGGGTGCAGCCACCATCCTGGGGGTTGATGGACAGAGGCAGGCTCCTTCCCTGCCCTTCTGCACCTGCCCCCTTGAGCAGGGAGACGGGGGCCGCTCTTGGCAGAGCCCCATGGTCACGGAATTACACCAGAGCACGAAGGTGGTTGTGCAGAAAGCTGGACTGGGGCAAAAGCAAAATGGCAGCACCTGTCCCAAATAAGGTCAGGTAAGAAAGAGCAGCCCTGCTTTCCTCCTGCTTGCAGCTCCGGCTTCTAGCTGCAAGGGGGGGTCAACAAGGGTGGGGGGCTGCAGCCTTGGCGGTGGGCAAAGAGGGGCCAACCTGGCACCCAGACGCTGCCAAATCTGCAGAGGAGGAAGGATAGTTATATTTTAGGGCAATTTTATTTTGCAGTAATGTGGAACTGCCACAGAACCTTGGCTGGGTCCCTCTGCTTCCCCGGGAGCACCGCCGGCCCTTCCATGGCTGCTGAAGAGGAGGAGGAAGGCCCAGCAGGTTCTGTCCAGGCAAAACAGAAAGGACCAGGCCGAGCAGCGCCTAGAGCCCTTCTTGGAGCTCAGGTGATCAAGTATGGACCTGGAGGGCCCCGGAGGCGGCTGTGCGTCCTCTGCAGGGGGCGCGCGCGGGTGGGGGGGGGAACAGCGTAGCCAGCGGCCAGGTGGGCAAGTGGGGCCGGAGGGGGTCGCAGCCCCGCGTGAAAACGCCCGGAAACGGGGCGAGGCGCGTCCCTGGGCGGAGGGGGCTCAGCCATGGGATCCCCCAGGGGAGCAGCCCGAGCAGCCCCGGGCCTGAGGCAACCGCTGCAGGGGGAGAATTAAGGAACTGCTGCAGAGTCAGGAAAAGCCGCGCCGGCAAGAGCCCAGCGGCGCATCCTCGGGGCCGGCCCGGAGAGGCTTCCTGGAGCGCTCGGGATTCCCGCTCGGTCCCCGGGGGCCTTTCCCGATTTAGGGCTCCCCGCCCCGCCGCCCCCGGTCTTGTCTACGGGGCTGAGATTGTCCCCCCTGCGAGGCCCGCTCGGCTCTCGCTTTCCGCATCCCGGCCTTTCCTTAGCCCGGCTCCTC